CCTACTGCTCCAAAGAGTGCTCAACCAACCGCCCGTTCTCCTGTTGCCTCCGTAATGACGTCCCACAAAAGTCTTACGCTGGGGCGGTGAGAGAATTCCTGCCACACCCCCCACATTTCCAACCAAACCCCAAGCACCGTCACAACATCAGGTGCAACTGCGTCCTTTCCGGATAAAATTCAAGTTATCGTCCAAACAATGGTATTCAATTTAGGCGCCGTCCTCCAACCACACACCAATGTCTAATACAGGCCACTCAAATAGTTTTCGATCAGTTACCTGGAATGCTCATGGCAATAGAACACTTCCTCGAGGAAAGGTCAATTGATGTTGCCTGAATTACCGAAACTTTCTTATCTCACTAAATATGTCTATGTCTCAAACTTCACAACCTACAGAAAGGATCATGAAAACTCCGGCGGCGGCGGCGTATACACTCTCATTAGGAATTCTATTAAACACAAGCCTATCTCAATCATCTCATTATATACTCCCCCCAAACGAAGAGGATCTTTCAAATCTTTCCCAACTACTCCCACCAAACGTATCGACCATCGTGGCAGAAATCTTAATACCAAACACGTCTCCTGGGGCTGCCGACATAATAATAAAAAAGGCATTTCGCTTGCCAACTCTATTAGCTTCGATTTCACATATGAAACTCTTCCATATCCCACGCACTTCTCGGAATGTCACATTTACCTTCCAGATATCCTTGACATCTTCGTCACAAAGAACGTTAATCCCACCGCCAACCCTACTCAACGAACTCAGCTCAAACCACCTTCCTGTTCTAATCGAAATCGGTCACCCAACTTACAATCCCCCAAAGCTAACATCCTCGTAAGACTTGCTACATCACCGTACTACACCCTTGAGACATCTTCTTTTAAGTGCACTCAAATTCGCACGAAAGAGGAATCCGGTGAAGCTGTAAATCTCCTTTCAAACGAGATTACCAGCGCCATCGAGCTCTCCACGGCCTCCCGCCTCTCTTCCTCTCCATTCAAAACTCTCCTCGCAACCATTCTTGACCTCCTTAAGAGGAAAAACAAGACCCGCCGTCTATAGCAACGACACTGCTCTTCGAAACAGAGCTCGCCATCTCCCTTTACTAAAATAGAATGGCTACCCCTACTCTTCAGACAAAGAAAAAACTGCAATCTTCGCAGACTATGTATGCCTCCAGTGCTCCCCATTACCTAGTCCAGTGGACCTTGACGACTTTCACTAACGTACCAATACTGTCTCCCAAAACTTCGTCCCCTCGTAATTCAACCTTAAACACACTACCCCCATGATATCTCTCTTACCATCTGTTCTCTGAAAAAGAGAAGAAGCCCCTGGCGCTGACGAAATTTCCGTCAACATCACAAACTCCATCAGACAGCTCCACCACTTCCTTTTGGTATGGAAAGAAGCCACTGTCGTCTGTCTCCCCAAAAAAAGGGAAGCCCCTTAGCTCTTCCTCAAGCTACAGGCCCATAATCCTGCTAAATTCGTTGAGCAAAGTAGTTGAATACATCCTTCTCGATTGACTTTTAGACCACGTGGAGCAAAACAACCTTCTCTCCAATCATCAACACGATCTCAGCAGGCATCACGGCACTGACCAACAACTTCTTCGCATATACAAATACATCTCCGATAATCTTAACAAGCGGCATCACAAATCCATGCTTCTTTTTGACATCCAGCAAGCCTTCGAGCGAGTCTGGCACGAAGGCCTTATCTCCAACCTTATCGCTCTTAACATACCACATTTCCTAATTGGAGTTATCAGGTCCTTCCTCACAGACAGAAGCCTTCGGGTGCGCGTTGGCTCTGTTTTCTCCGTCGATAAACCCGTCACAACCGGTGTCCCACAAAGTTCCAAATTATCTCACATTCTTTTTAACCTGTTTTACGTGGACATGTCCTCCCACATCTCGTTTCTGGCTGTTCTTTACGCTGACAACATTGCCCTCATAAACTCTGCGCAAACCAATCTCCAAAGCACAGCGAAAATTAATTAGTAATTAATAACCCAGGAGTCGTCTTCTACAGAGCCCTAAACTGGCAACGCCACATCTCAGCCGCTCGTAACAAGATCCTGGGTGCATTCATCGCACTCAAGCCTTTCTTCCGAAACAACTCTATCCCCCAACAAACAAAAATTCGTGCGTTTAACGCTATCATTAAGAGCATTTGCTTCTACGCTCTTCCCCACCGCCTGAAACTTCTGCTAGGCACCTACATGCGGAGAATTTCTAAAACTGTGTTCAAGTTTAAGACAGTTATAACACGAATGCTTCTTTTTAACAAAATCTGATCGTTCGGCGGAATTAATCTTTTTTGCTTTTTCACAATCGTTGATTTCGTGCTCCTTCACATTAAAAAACAAACACAGTCTTTCTTTTCCTCTAGCTGTAAACAAATCTGCAGCATTTGATACGGTCATGGATTCTTCTTGCACTTTTTGCCTTTTTAATTTTGCAATTTTTTCACTAACCTTTAGATCGAAACCTTGAACAGCCATCGAAATTCTCAATTCATTTAGCACGTCTTCGATAAGGAACTTCATAAGATCAGTCTGTCCTTTGATTCAATCGAACAACACGCATTACTTAAATAACAAAACGCTACATTTTTATTTTGTGGCTACCCGCGCAATAGACTTTCCGGTATCGAAGGTTCTATAAGTACCTAGATATAACAACACAAAAAGTTTCGAGAGCTCTTAAATGTAAGTGCTTATAACACTAATTGCAATGGTTCTCTTCGCGATCGAAACGATTCTTTAAACTGTTTAATTCCAGTATTTAATAAAAGCATTATCTTCTTTATCTAAATCTTGATTTTCGTTAACCTTCTTAAAACGGTTCCAAAAATGTAACCAATTACGCACATTTCCATTAATTTTAAAACAGTCGATTGACGGCAGTTTCAGATTTTTGCTCGTTTGCGCCTGATTATTCACGTTTTCCGGTTTGTTTGTGATCCATTTCTTAGCACTTTGTCATCCCAATAAGTAATAATAATAACTCTCGCCCTGCCACAGTCCCCAAATGTTATGTCAAGTAGAAACGGGTTAAATAATATAATTGGAAAACCCTTTTTTAAACAAGCAAGATAACATACTTTATCAAAAATGAAAACGGTATAATTACTCTAATTACGCTGTACTGTTACCGGTTCGGAGTTTAGGGGAAACGCATCCCACTGGCTGCCCACAAACTTCTCCACACTAAGATGCACCAATCACCCCAACGGAATCAAACCACCTAAGTTAGTCATATACATCTAACAATCTTAAACCACAAAATATTTTTTCTTACGAAAGAAATTTCCGTGAACAAAATAAATTTATGTCCTGCTCGGACTGCGTGCAGTGGTACGGATTGACGAGAGAATGGGGTACAGCCCACTCAGCCAACAAACGAACACCCCCAGCGACAGTGACACTACTGGAACCTCTTAGACTTCAGACTTCCTGAACAGCTTTTCACACACAATGAATCACCTATAGACTTCAATTTTTTCTTGGAAGACTTCCGCATTTGTATGAGAAAGTCAAACCCATCCCAGCAAGCTATCATTCTCGACATGCAGCATCTTCTTATAAAGACTTACGAAATAAAATCAAAATCAAAATATGTATCATAATTTTGCATTCATTAGTTCTATTAAAAAAAATGTTTCGGGTGCAGGTGGAAGTTAAATGTCAATTTATTCAAAAACTATTTGATAATTTAATTGACGCCAATTGATTGCGTGTCATTTGTGCTTGAAGATTGAACTATTATGACAAGCGGAGTTTATTTTTAATACGCTTTTATTAGCTTGACCTGTTTGTAAATATGTTTCGGAATCTTTCAACGTAATTTTCATTGACTCTAAGACGTCTAATTGATTTGAAAATTTACACACGTATGAAATACACATGACAATACAAAAATTTAACTGATCCTACTCTGTGACCCCCTCTCCCAAGAGCGTTTTCGTGCGGCGGGGAAGTAATAAAAAGAAAATTAATTTAATTGATTGTAAAAAAGTGTGGGTACTTGATATTGATTGCTGTAAATATATCAGTAGTATCTATTCATAAAGGTAGACTTATTATAAAAATACAATAAAATGCACCCCACGCTTTTTTTACACTAGTACTTATAACCTATGTTTTTATGTTTTGTCTTATTTATATACCATTGTTGCTAGTCCCGCTAGGTAAGCTACCATTACAACAGTACAACAGTTGCTGTCGCTAGCATAGACATAGAGAATGAATTGAGCAATACCCTCATGAAATTAACTATTCTCTAGAAAGAGAGAAAACGATCGTGCGGACGTACGTAGACATACATTACTGGACGTGCCTTAGCCGTATGTCGTAATAATTTCTTGGCTCGAAAAGTCAGGGAGGTGGCGTATGGTTTCGGACTAGTGCCATCTCTTTCATGACACGCTCACGCACTATCGTCAGAGAGATGGATATTGTCCGAAACTTCGTTCCCCCTCTTTCTTTTGTTGTACCACAGTTCTGACCGCTAAGGCATGTCCATTAGTAAACGTCGATGGTGCGGTCGATACTTTTCTCTTTTCCTCTTTCTTTACCTCATTTATCCACTCCTGTAAGACTGAAAGTAGACCAATCAAAATTCTAGAAAAAGACAACTATTGGCCGCTTCGTTACATTTTTTGTGCGCATGTCCACGATTTTACACATGCGCAAAGAAGAAAATTAGTTAAACGCATGCGTTCTTATTTCTAAAATTTGTTTTGTTTTGTTTGCCTTTAACTAATTTTGCGCACAAAAAGATGTAACGAACACGACTAATATGTCGATGCGCACAATCGCTTTGCCTCCCTCACACATTTCTGCCTGTATTTACTTTATAGCTAGATAAGAAAACACAATCCATAGATAATAGACACAATCATTTCTCTATGTCTGCGATCGCGACCGCCTTATGTCTGAAGTACTCTAAGCATTATCCAATAGGCATTAATCTATGGGTGTCGTCATTCTGTATCAATGAATAATATCAGTATGCACTTTATATTTATTGTTTGCTAAAACACTAATGTTAATAAACAAATAAAGTAAAGTCGTAAATCGTAAGAAACCGTATTTAGTTTAATTAAAATTTGTTTGGTACCTTGCATCCTTCAGACAATTCTTATTAAAGTAATTTTCGTAAATTGTTTGGCAATGGAAACCATACGACCAAACATACGTATAGAAATCCCAAACAATGTTAATGAAGCAATGGATATCGATAATCAAGAAAGTGGTGAAAATGAGGAAGGTGAGATTCAAGATTCCGTTGACATGAATCAATGTCTCGAAAGCTTCGATGATTTCCAAACAAAAATAATTCCAGTAAATCAAACAAAGGTAATAATAAAATTTTTACAAATAGAAATGGACTCATCTATGGAGTTTTAGGTTTGGATGAATGAAGCTGGTGGTTTTTCTACAGGTATTGATATACTAAATAAAGGGACCAACGAAAGACTAGAAGAAAGAGCTAAAAGATTTGGATTAAAGCCCAATGAAATACAAAATTTTACAGAAGAAAATTTACAAGTGTTACAGGACAGTCTAGGTGTTAGCTATAAAAATGAGAAAGAAATACGATTTGAAGCCATACACATGAGAGGAACTGATGATCTGAGCACAGAAGATATATTTGAATATTTTAAGAAATATGGACCTAGCTATATTGAATGGATAAGTGATGATAGTTGTAATGTTGTTTGGGAAGACAAGTTATCCTCAGCTAGAGCTTTATATTTTACCTCAAAAGCTATTCAGGGTAATTGTTTAGGCTAAACTTCTGAAAGCGACTCACTGATAGTCAAAACCTATAACACAATAGTTTTGGCATAATCTGTTTCGGCAAGTCCTGTCCTTGATCTAATATATTCACTTAATGGCACTATGTACAGTTTAGCTAAGAAAATTAGGTTAGATGAGACACTAAGGTGTTACATTATGCATGGATGAGATGCAAGTAGGTTAGGTTAAGTTTGGTGCTAAAATGGCCCAATAATTAACTTCTCTGTGTGCAAGAAGTTATTCCATGCAAATAGTTTTAAAATTCTCAAAAAGTATTACTCAATTCCGTATTCATTGGACTCCTTTTGGAAGTTTTACCATTGTTTATTTGTCAAAACAATACCTGATTCAATTATGCTTTATTATACTTATTAAATTATTTACAATGATATTTTATTTAGGGATGCCTGTAGAAGGCCCATGTAACCCATTTGTAAAGGAGTTAGAAATAGCTGAAACAGAAGAGGATGAAAATAGAGGACATAGTATATTATTACAAAATAGAGAAATTGAACTACAAAAGGAAGATAATGATGATAAAGAAAATTCAACAAAATATATTCATATTCTTGACATAAAGATTCCAATTCCTCCAGGCTATTGGAGATTAGGTTTGGATCACCCAAAATCAAAGGGTATTTTGATGCGGTTTTCATTTAGATCTGACAAGAAACCATTTAAGGTAGAGAAAAAATAATGAAAACAATAATGATAGTAAAGTTTGTTCATGGTAATTGCTATTACAAAATCTGCTGCATTCTAACAAAAAGTACAGTTTTATTAAATTTCTATCTTTTTTAAAAAAGTATGTTAAGACTTCAATTTATTAATATAATAATTAATTCTATATATTTAAA